GGCCTGCCACGCCGGCCCCCGACGTGTCATGAGTATGGATGTGCAGCGGGAGGTCAGGGAAGCGGTCCCGAAGGGAGCTGACCAGCATGGTGCAGGCCGCTGGCTTCAGCAGCCCTGCCATGTCCTGGAGGAAGTGGGGAGAAGAGAGATGGTAAGGAGCACAGTGCGTGCCTGGGGTGGGGTACATGGCAGCGGCAGAGAAGGGGAAGGGACAGTGGCCCAGGCACCTTGATGCACAGGATGTGGGTGCCGGCTCGCACCAACTCTTCTGCCAAGCCCATGTAGTACTGCAGCGAGTATTTGGTACGACTGGGGTCGGCCACATCCCCCGTGTATGAGATGGCGGCCTCCACCACACCTCCAGCATTGCCTGCTGCCTCCATACCCAGCAGCATGTTGGGTAAGTAGTTGAGGGAGTCGAAGACCCGGAAGACATCCATGCCATTCTCCTTGGCCACCTCACAGAACCTGAGCGGATAAGAGAGTGCAGAGTGAGCCCTTCCCCTCTCCCTGTACATCCTTCTGGCCCACTCTGCTGCCCCAGGGAATGAAACAGGGGAGCATGGTTGGCAGGAGGCTGGCATCCAGAGGGAGTGGGATTGGGGGTGGGAGTCACAGCAGCATAGACAGTGCCTTCTCTAGGGCAGTCTGGCCAGGCGGGTTGCCCAGAGGCATCTGCACTGGGCAGATCTGGGTCCTGTGCTAATCTCATGCAGTATAGTCACTGGTCTGCCTAGCCCTGAGGATCTACTGGGGAAATTCTCTGCTTTGCAAAGGATTGGCAGGCTGTCAGGGAGAGCCCTGCGTGAGGAGTCCTGAGGCCTGGGTTCCAATCTCAGCTCTACACAGCAGAGCCTGGGAAAGTCATGTCTTTTCAGGGCCTTCGCTGCCCCTCAAGTGACACACAGTGACCCAGAAGCCCTTTCAATTCTACAACTACCACTGCACCTCACTGTGCTTCCAAACAGTACTCTCTGGTGGCTGTGGCTACAGACTTGGTTTTGAGCCACTGTGATGGTTATGGGCTGGTACATGCTGGGCCACACCCTTCTGTGTGTGCCCACCCCACCCCAGGCTCACTTGAAGACCACATTGTCGGGGTAATTGGTGTATCCCACGGCATTGGCCCCTCGCAGCAGCATCTGGAATGGGATGTTGGGGATGAGCTCCCGGAGCTCCTGCAGCCGCCGCCAAGGGCACTCATACAGGAAACGCATTGCGACATCAAATGTGGCTCCTGCACAGGGACAAGAGGCCGTCTCATCAGCTCTGCACATGGTAGGGGGTGGGGGAGCAATCCCTGCAGCACTGCAGCCTGAGCCTCCAGCCCCAACACCAGACCCTGCTCCTCCTCAGGGCCCTTCCTGTTCCCTGCTCTGACTCCAACAGACTTCCTGCTGCTGATCCCTCGGAGTGGCTTGGGCTCACTTATGTCTTCTGTGCACTCCATTTTATAGCCCTCATGTCCTCCCCCCAGTTCTCTGCCAGAACTACTAGTTATAGACTGACCCCGAGCTCCCAGAACAGCACCTGGGCTGCTCTGCAGCCTCATGCCCACCACCAGGCCTGGCCAGAGCAGAGCGGACACCAGTCAGAGCGCCGCAGAGGTGAAGACTGTGCCTTCTTCAGTTCTCTTCAGTTTTCTCAATGTGAACATCTTTGGCTTCTCTCGGAGTGTCCCCCATGGTCTGCACCCTCAGGGTTGGCCACACCGTGGATACCCACTTCCTGGCCGACCCTGTCTACTAGTCCAGTCCTGCTCCAGCCTACCTCCCCAGTTCTCCATGCTGAAGAGCCTGCTGAAGTTGTGGGCAACATAAGGGGCAATCTTTTTGAGATCGTGGGTGCGCACACGAGTAGCCAGCAGTGACTGGTGGGCATCCCTGAAGGTCGTGTCCATCAGCAGCAGCCCTTGGTGGTTCCTCACAGCTCGAGCAAAGCCCTCAGGCCCTTCTCGCAGCAGGATGTCTCTGAAACCAGCTGGGGGTGGGCCTAGGGCAGACACAGGCATTGGTGCCCATCCTGCAGATACCAACTTCTGTCTCTTCCAGGAATTGACAGGATCTCACCTACCTATGGGTACTGCAGGGACAATAGGGTCCGTGGGGTTAGGACTGGCCTTAACGGGGATTGGGGTGGTTGGGCCATTCACCATGACATGTCCTGGGGAGAGAGTGGGCAGTGGTTAGAGCAGACTGCAGTGGGAATAGGTGGGCTTGGGGATGGGACATTCTTCCAAGCTACCCAGTCCTCCAGCCAGCCCCTGTCCCCCTCAAAGTCAGTGCCTTCTGGATCTGGGCAGTAGGGACATGAGGGCCACATGGATGGAAAAGGGGTTCTCTAAGGTCAGGAGGAAGGAGGCTGGGCAGAATGGGAGGACAAAGCTCAAGAGGAGGGTGCAGGATCAGGACAAGGGCAGGGGGTGTTAGGAAGTTCTTTGGGCAAGGGGCCAGGAGCAAGGCATCTGGGAGAAAGGGGGAGAGGTGGGGAGAGAAGGGCAGTTTTGGGTCGGACCAAGGTAGTGTAGCAGCTTCTGGGCCCGGTTCTGTGCGGGCCGCAGCTGGAATAGCTCTGGGTTCTCGTCGATAAACTGGGTGTCCACGGTGCCCGCCAGGAACTGCTGGTTGTTGAGCACATTCTGCAGGAAGGGGATGTTGGTCTGCAGGACAGAGGCGGGTAGGAGGTGTCACCATGCGGCATGGATAGGGAAGGGAGAAGAGGCTGAAGGTGCAACCCTGGACCAACACAGCTTCAGGGCCTCCCCATGGGGGGGCATTTACCCAGTCCTAAACCACGGCCTCCAAACTTTTAGCAGAGTCCCTAGGCCGTCAGGAGCTGAACCTGTTCCTACCTACTCCCTCCATCCTTGCCCACATTCCTGCAGCACTGTGGCATGGGGCAGAACTTTCTTGCTCCCTGGTCACATTTTTTTTTTTAATTGCCACAGGGTATGTGTGCTACCCAGAGAGGGGAAGAAAACATCTCCAAATGTGGCATAGGTCACAGCATAATCCTTTCTCCTCCATCTGTCCAACCTGTTGGGATTTTGGACATGCAAGCACAGGCACCTGGTGTGTTTTACAGACCACCAGGACTGGGATTCAAACTGCAGTCAGCCATGTTTGGGCCAGCTTAGCCAAACTTAAAATGGCCCTTACCTTCAACAAACCCATGCTCTGACCCCCTCACTAGGTCACCTCCTCTTGGCTAAGTTCAATGGGCATGCTCCCGCCTTGATGTCCCATGTGTAGGCTCCTAGTTCTCCTTTTCCCTCCTTGGCCCCTCTTCTCACACCCAACTTTCCCTGAGGTGGACCAGAGCCTTTGAATCAAGACCCAAGGCCACCAGAGTATCCCTGCTGGTGCATCCCGCATATGAGCTCAGAAAATCCCAAACTGGCTTCCCTTCTGCTCACCCAGGCCCCTCTGCCTCCTGGTGGGAGCCTCGCCATCTACCTGGTTACCAAGATCTACCTTCCCTCACCCTCGCCATTCACTCCTGCCATGTTCTGGTTAAGCTAGATGATTCTACCATGGCCATCCCTGGACTCCACAACCTCTTCTCCAGCTCAGGCTGTACCTCCTTCTGGGCTTCCTTGTCATGGTCACCTCTAGCCACACCAAACGTGCCTTGCGCTCTCACACCTCCACACCTTTGCACCTGCCTGATAAACTTTTCCTGGGCATCTGAACTTGAAGGCCTTGTGTCCTGGCCTCCTGCCCTCTCAGCAGAACTGGAGCACATCTCATGGGATCGGCTGTTGGGAAGCTTGTCCCTTGGCTGCCGCCTCTGCATCATTTACCTGCCTTCACGTGCCTGGGAGCTCTCTGTGGGCAGGGAGGCTGAGGTACTTGTGTCCAGGTGCTTTGTGCATGAGGGCCTTTGGTTCTGCTCAGGAAATGACGGGGTAACAATATGAGGCTGGGCCAGGGCAAGTAGAGGCCATGTGGGGACCTGGGAGCCAGCACTGTCAGATCCTCCTTGACTGTAAGGCCACATAGCCAAGACTCCCCATGTGAGCCCAGCTGTGACCATGTGGCTACAGCTGTGGCTTTCACTTCAGAGATGGCATCTCTATTGTCACCTGGTCACTATTGTCACCCTCAAAAGGAACCTGAGGAAACCAGCAGTTAGCGTAATGGCTATGTTGCTGGACTCCCACGTAGTCGACCGTGGTTCGTGTTCCGGACCCAGTGGCTTAAAGCTCACGCCGGGCGTGTGTGCGTGCGTGCCCAAGATCCTGAGAGGAAAATGGAGGAGAAGGGATTGTGGCGTGACCATCCCCTCTGGGGGGTGATTTCTCACTTTCTATCTCTGTCTCTCTGTCTGTCTGGCGAGCGCACGTGCCCTATAGCAAAAACCTCTCAAAAAAAAAAAAAAAAAAAAGGAACCTGGGCCTACCATGAGCCTCTTTTGAGTCTACCCTAGGGCTATTACCTGGAGGCATGGACAGGAAGGGTGACTCCCCCACTAGCATCCCACAGAAACTGAGTGGTGCCCCACCAACAGTGATGCGTGCCTGTCTGCACCTGAGCCAAGCCTGCCCCTCTTAAGGAACATGTCAAATGGGCCAAGGCACAGCACTTGAAAACAACCAGTTAAAGCATCTAAACAACCTACAGCCGTACAGGGCAAGGGCTGTGAGAGGCCTCCAGTATCACCCTGTAGTGCCCTTCCACAGATCCCTCCCTTTGTAACCTGGCCTCTGTCATCTCCTCTGTGCTGTAAGCTGTATGGCTCCCGATGTACCCCAGTACCCTGCACAGAACGGCACATGAAAGCTGCTGGTGAATATGTGTGTCCAGAGTTAGTGTAAACATTTTTGATGGGGAGAAGAACAAAGACCTCTGAAGCCAGTGCACAGCAGAGCTGACCTGGGCCAGCATCCAATCCCTCTTGGGGATTTTACACAACAAACAGCTGAGGCCCTGAGAGCAGCAACAGCCAGGATGGCTTCCAGCTGAGGGTGGCAGGAAGGCTGTGCCTCCTCTCAGTCCCATGAGCTGCACCGTGATGTGCAATTATTACAATACACCCTGGTCTTGTTTCAGTGGCTAAGTAACTGTCCGAGGCTGCCCAATGTGCCAGGGAAAACTGGAATTCCAGTGCCTGGTTTCTGTGACTTGTCACCCAGCCCCCAGAGAACTGGCTCCAGACGGGCAGAACAGGGATGGAGCTGTCCAGGTAGCCTGAGGGGGAGGTGTTGACTTCCCCTGGGGCGGATTACTGCGTTGGTGGGCACGAACCAAGGCCCGAGGTGTCCGACACATTCAAAGGCCTCAAGGCCACGGCGTTTCCACCCTGATCCCAGCCCTGCGGCGCAGGAAGCGGGAACTTCCCGAACCTCACTCCCGGGGCCCTTTCAGGGCTAAGCCGCGCTTGTTCCAGGCTGCGGTCCCCGGGAAATGGCCCAGCGAGGACAGAGTGTGGAGGGCGGGGCTGCAGGCGCGGCGAGGGCCACTGACGCACCGCTTCAAACAGCCAGCCTGCTGGGAAACCGCGCAGAGCAGACCAATAGGGCCGGAGGCGGAGGCCGGTTGGCTCCCGAGCGCCAGGCCGGCGGGGCGGGCGGGGGAGTCGGGGAGGGAAGGCCGGCGGGCGGGGCGGGGCGTGGCAAGGCGCCTGCCCGGAGGCCGAACCCTCGCGGCCCCACCCGGCAGCGCTGCTGCCGGGGGCGCCGCCCCTGCCCCCCTCCACGAGCCGTGTGCCTGTTGGGGACCCTCCACGTGACTCAGTGATGCAGAACGGTTATGACCTTCAGCGTGTGTCTGAACGCGAGGGTCCCAGCAACTGAGCCGGTTTGCGCCCGGCCCTGCCCGTGGGTGCAGGGACGTGTGTGGGTGTGTGGGCATGTGTGGGTGTGTTGGGGAGGGAGCCCAGCGACATGTGACAAAGACTCCCGGCTCTGGGAGATGGTGAAGAGACCCGTGAGTTGGCGCTTTGTCTGGCTGGCTGCAGAGTGAGGTTCGCGCCGTGGCGGCGGGCGCCCGTGCGGTGCAGGATGCCGGGGCGCCAGGGTGGCCGGGGGCGCGCGCGCCTGTG